TCCATCCGGAGAGGACTCGAGTAGTGTCTTCCTACTCGCAGATCCCTACCAGGAAACCCTCATCTCCAGGCAAGGAACCCGCAACGAGGACCGCGCTCTCGCCCATCGTATCTGAAGGTACGACTGGGCTAGAACTGTTTCCCCAACAGCAGCGGGGCTAAGAAGTCGTGGAGAAGGCACACTCCACCCGAGACTGCAGCATCACTTCAGGAAAAGAGGTAATGCTTCGGATCCTCTAACTCCTTGGAATACTCGACATCCGAGGAGGAACAAGACCAATCAAAACGACCAATAAGGAGATCACAACCTATGTCGCCATCGCCGAACAAACCCACCCCTCCTAGATCAGAGGAACACCACTCGAGCATGGATGCTGTCGATCTAGAGCAGAGAGGAGAAGGGTCGTACGGGTGGAGTGCAACAACCTACGCGACCTTAGCACCCAACACATCGGTTGGACACTCGCCGTCCGCGTCTCCCAAGAAGACAACCGTAAATCCGTCCGGGCTTCCGCAGGATGATGGCCAACGGCCATCTACTAGCTACGCCCACATGGTAGCTGCGCCAGCAGTACCGCGACCACAACCGGCGGCAGCGCCTTCTGATAAGCCTGCCGACCAGGAGAAAGCCAGATACCCGCCCATAGTGGCTGAATGCCTCCCGGATCGGACGAGGCATTTTAAGGAGCTCAACAGAATGTTGGACCACCCATTGAATGCCCGTCCGTTCGGGAGGGGAGTACGTTTCACACCTCAGAGTGCCATTGAATTTCGGACCGTTCAACGCTACATGGTTGAACTTTCCAAGGAGATACCAAACCTGTCGTGGTACTACTACACCCCGGATGAAGACAAGCCCACCAAAGTGGGCATCCGGGGCCTACCAATGGGCACAGACACCAGTACTATAGAGGAGGCCATAAAGGCAAAGGGCTTCCCGGTCAAGTACGTGAAGGCGATTCCACCGCGAAGGGGCAGACCTGGATGTGTCTATTTCGCCCAATTTGACCACCTGAGCCTGGAGCAGCTCAAAGATCTATACAAAATTGACGAACTACTCTTCAGTAGTAGTCATTGAGGCCTGGCAAAGGAAAGCAGGACCGGCCCAATGCCACCGCTGCCAGGCCTTCGGACACGCCTCAGCTAACTGCTTCAGGCCGGTGAAGTGGGAGCACATAGCGAGCCTTTGCCCTCGGGGTAGGGAAGAAGAACCCACGTGTGCTATTTGTGGCAAGAATCACACAGCTAATGACCGCCGCTGTCCAGTCCTGAGGAGGACTGCTCGGAGGCAGGGGATTAACTTACCGGGGCTACCTCGGAGGACCCGAGAAGGATCCCCCAGAGTCGCCCAAAAGCAGTCACCATCCAGAAAGACGGGTGGGCTACCATTACGGGGAAGGGCAGACAACCAGCCCCCCCCCCCCCCCCACCCGTAACACACAAGGAAACGGTGGAACCCGCAGAGGTAAGGGCAACCACCGGGGTGACTCTGCAGCCCCCCACCAACCCTGCCACAGAATGGCAACCCTCTAAAAAGAGGAGGCGGGAGAGAAGCAGGAAGAAGTCGCAGCCTCCTCAAGCTGTCACCTCTACCCCGACACCAGGACCAGCAGCCTCGCAGGCGCAGGTTACTCAGGAAACCACCAAAAAGGGCGTGGGTAGAGTGCAAGAAAGGGCTCTACCCGAAGATAGAGCCCGCTCTGTACATAGAGCGCGCTCTACCCAGAAGCTAAGACAGCAAGAAGACCAACGCTCGAGACCAGTGCCAACGCCTTCATGTAGGAGACCACTGACTGCCGGCCTCGAAACAGCTGATGCAATCCAGCGTTTAGTTGGTATTGCCATCGAGGTCGGCACACAAGTCCTAGCCCATATTAGAGCCGGGACAAACCCAGTTACAGCGATTATGAAGGCGCTGGCAAACCTCCTGGCCAGGCATTATGGAGGAGAATAACCTGCGCCTAATGTACTGGAACCCGGACGGAATACAGCAGAAGCTGCATGAACTCCGCACTGTCGCCCAGCAACAGGACATACACATCATACTGCTGGGCGAAACAAAATTAAATCCTAAGACGCACATAAAGCTGCCGAACTTCCATATTTACAGAAGGGATGAGGTCACTTCTCAAGGGGCCGCCTACAGAGGGACGGCGGTTCTAGTGAGGAGGGACATCGTCCATCAAGAGCTGGAGCTACCATCTTACCAGTCTATGCGCTCTATCGGCATAAGAATGGAGGCGGCGGGCGAGGAACTAAGGATATATGCAGCATACCGCCCGCCAGGGACTCCATTCTGCTCCTCAGACATCCGGAAAGTGATGGAAGGTGAAACACCCACAATCATCGCCGGGGACCTGAACGCTAAACACTCGGCGTGGGGGTCCGGAGTGATCACCCCGCCGGTTCTTGAACTATATGAAGATGCAGAGAAGAACCTGTACGATGTTTTAGGTCCCGAGGAACCAACACACGTTCCTACCGACCCACGGAGGCATCCGTATGTATTAGACATCGTGCTCACTAGGAACGTCAAATACCCGATAGTGGTAGAAGTGCTGTACGACCTCCCCTCACAGCACCTCCCGTTACTGATAACCCTTGGCCTAAAGGCGGTGACTACGCCGCCTAGAGCGTTCAAAACTCGTGTCGACTGGAGGCTCTACTGTCAACATCTTCAGCAGAGACCTCCAGCACATCAGCCAATAAGCACAGCGGACGACGTAGAGGCCGCTGCTACTAGAATTACCAAGAACATCAAGGAGGCCCTCCACGCGGCCTCTACGATCGTCCCGATTACAGCAAGGCGAGACGATCTGCCGCGTGAGATAAGCGTGCAGATCAAGTGCAAAAGAACGCTGAGAAAGCTCTGGGCGCGTACTCGCTGTCCCAGATTAAAGACCCAGCTAAACACCTTATCGGAGGAACTGTCGGTTGCAGTCCGGGCCTTCAGAGGGGAGGCCCGGGATCGGTGCATCCGGAAGGCGGATGAGTATGATGCGTCGCTCTACAAACTGAACCGGCAGTTGACCAAAACCAAACCTCCCGTTTGCCCGCTGACCAACAACGCGGGCAAACGCTGCTATGATGCCAAGGGCAGAGCGGATATCCTAGTCAAGCACTTCGAGGAGCAATTTATGCCGAATCCAGCAAGTGCGGAGTTCATGGAGCTTCATGCCCGGAAGGAAAGTCGCGTACAGGAGTTCCTGTCGTCGCCCGCGCCGCCTCTTGCAGGAGAGTGGTTCATCTCCCCCGATGAACTGCGGAGGACAGTAACCAGACTGCAACCGAGGAAGGCGCCGGGGCACGATGGGATTACTAACGCTGCACTCCGACAGCTGCCCAATAGAGTCCTAGTAGAGCTTGGTCGACTCTACAATGGGATATTGCGGACATCCCACTTCCCGGAGGACTGGAAGAAAGGCAAAGTGATCGTCTTGCCGAAACACGGGAAGGACAGGCGTAGAGCTGCCAGCTACAGGCCGATCACACTATTACCGCACATAGGTAAACTGTTTGAATGATAGCTGCTGAGACGTCTCCGTCCGTGCATCCAACTTCGGGTGGAGCAGCACGGATTCAGGAGGGGTCACTCCACAGTCACACAACTGACTAGAGTGCTGCACCTGCTTGCGGTTGAGTACAATCGTGGCCGCATATCGTTGGGCGTCTTTCTCAATATCGAGAAGGCGTTCGACCGGGTGTGGCACATAGGATTATTATACAAGCTGGAAGAACAGACCAGTGTCCCTCCTGCTATGTTACGGTTAACGGCGTCTTTCCTGGAAGACAGGAAGTTCTACGTCTGCGTAGAGGACGCCGAGTCCGTAACAAGAACCATCAGAGCCGGCGTCCCACAGGGCAGCTGTTTGTCTCCAGTCCTGTACGCGGCTTATACCAATGATATACCTACTCTGGCAAGCAGGCTTCAAGAGTGGGAGGACGACGTTGAGCTGGCGCTATATGCGGACGATAGCGCCTATTTCACCTCGTCCAGAAGAGCCCACATAGCCACTGCCAAGATGCAGCGTCTGCTGGACCTGCTGCCACCATGGCTGGAAGAGTGGAGGATGGTCGTCAGCGTTGGTAAGACGACCGCTCTGCTCACTCGCCGTCTCAGGAAATTTCCACCTCCGCTGACCCTCAACGGCCAGAAGATTGCGTACCAGAAGGCCGTAACCTACCTTGAGTGCAGGATCGACAGGACGCTGCGCATGACCGCGCACGTCAACTTCGTCGTCCGCAGGGCCCGATGTGCGCGGGCGACGCTCTTGCCGGTCCTGGCATCCAAGCTGCCGATAAGAACCAAGCTCCGGATATACAAGATGTATATCCGGACCATCATCACCTACGCTGCTCCGGCCTGGTACGCACTTCTGAGCGACCCTCTGAGGCGGCGACTACAGGCCCAGCAGAACCTGACATTAAGGACGATCGTCGGAGCAGGTCGCTACGTCCGGAATGACATAATAGCGGCGGACTTGAAGATCGAGAACATCACCGAATTCGTGGCCCGGATGCTATGGGACATGAGGAACACCCGGGCAATGGGGGCTACCCCGAGGCCCGATACCTGCATGGCACCTCGGTGCATGTAGACGACAACACGAAGCCAAGCGTTCCACTCGCGCGGTCGGCCCCCTACGCATCGGTTGTGTTCGGATTCCAATAAATTTAATATTTTTAATTCGCTTTAAATTCATTCAGAAGGTGTTGATTAAATTTAAACCCAACTAAAAAGTTATTTTTAAAACCAAACAAAAGTTATTTTCAGTTCTAAACCCATTTTTTTATGTTATATTCAGTAGTTACTAATTGATAAATAAATATTGTGTACATTTAACTATCCTAACAGCTTAGTAACTTAGTAGTTCTTACAATTTTTCAATTACATTTTTTATAGGTAATTCCTGTTCAACAGTTGAGCATATAAATTTAGTACAAGGGCACTTTTAATTTTTTTATCATTTTGTCTTTTCCTGCTGATAATTAAATAATGAAATGCCCAAAAGATCAAGATCTCAACTTTCCAGAAATAGTTCCCAGGCGAGGGCATTAAAAATACGTCGTAAAGGAGAATCTTCATCAGAAACTGACAATCATCTTGCAAATCAGAGAGAATACGCGTCACAATCGCGTGCCAGAGAGTTGAGTATCGAGCGTTCTCAGCGGCTTGCTGAACAAAATTTGAGAACCTCTCAAGTACGCGCGCGAGTGTCGAGTGTCGAGCGTTCTCAGCGGCTTGCTGAACCTCTCAAGTACGCGCGCGAGAGTCGAGTGTCGAGCGTTCTCAGCGGCTTGAGGAACAAAATTTGAGAACCTCTCAACTACGCGCGCGAGAGTCGAGTGTCGAGCGTTCGCAGCGCCTTCGAGATCAAAGAGAAAAACAACAGACGTCAACGACTAGAGTTCGCAATCGAGTTTTAGCTCACAGTAATAGATCGGCTTTCAGATATGATCCACAGATTGATTATGCTCAACAGTCTTCCGTCCAAATCGGAGCCATGAATAAGATCTGCTGTAAGTGTTCTGTCAAAAAATGGGCCGATGAACCCAATGGTATGTGCTGTGCTTCTGGAAAAGTTAGTCTCCCCAACATTTAGAAGCCGCCACAGCCAATAAAAAATCTTTTAACAAATAATCATTCACTATCTGGACAATTTTTAAGCAACATACGTAGGTACAATAGCCTATTTCAAATGACTTCGTTTGGCGCGAAATAAATTGGACAAGGAAATTTTATGCCTACTTTTAAAATAGAGGGACAAGTATATCATCTTAAAGGTAGCCTTTTACCACCATCAGGCCAAAATCCATAATACTTGCAGATATATTTCACTTCAGACTCAGATCAGCTATCGTTGCAGTCAAATATAGCTCCAACGCTAAAAATTGATTTAATTAACGAACTACAGACCGCACTGAATAGCCACAATGTACACATACGAAGTTTTAAACAAAACTTAGAACGTAACTCTTCGGATAATTTAAAGTTAATTATTCACTCGGATCGCCCACCACAGACAGCACACCCGGGCAGATATAATGCTCCAGCTGTAAACGAGGTAGCCGTTCTCTTGGTTGAAGAAGAAAAAGGCCCCAGAGATATAGTAGTGCACGGTAGAGACGGCCAACTTAAAAGGGTCTCTGAGTTACACTGATCCTATGATCCACTACAGTATCCCTTAATGTTCGTGATGGGAGATGACGGTTATTATTTGACCATTCCTCAGCAAGGTACAGTACGTAACAAAACCGTGACGTGCATTCAATTTTATGCATTTAGATTGATGGTTAGAGCTAACTGTTTTAATCCACTACATTATTACAGAGACTTATTTAGTCAATATATTGTCGATATGATGGCAAAAATGATATCAGAAAGATTGAATTACATAAGTTATAATCAAAAAAGATTGAGGGCTGATGAATACATTCATCTCAGAGACGCTTTAAATCAAGACGCATATGTTGACCCATAAAATATCGGTCAACACGTAATCTTGCCATCCTCATTCACAGGTTCTCCGCGTTATTTGCATGAAAAAACCCAGGATGCGATGACTTATGTCCAAAACTACGGAAGGCCAGACTTATTTATGACTTTTACGTGTAACCCCGAATGGCCTGAAATTAAAGCAGAACTATTATCTGGTCAGCGGTTTTTCGATCGTCATGATATAATTTCAAGGGTCATTTAAAGATGAGGAATTTCATAAAATTATTCACCAAAGATGAAATATTCGTCAAAGTGAAATGTTACATGGCAAGTGTGGAGTGGCAGAAGCGAGGTTTACTACACTGTCATTTGCTGTTTTGGCTAGAAAGAAAAATCCAGCCAGACGAAATTGATAGTGTCATAGTTGCAGAACTGCCCAACCAACAAAACGACCCGATATTGTATGATATCGTAACTAAAAATATGGTGCACGGACCATGCGGAGAGCATAACCTAACAGCACCATGTATGAAAAATGGTCTCTATACAAAAAAGTACCCTCGACGTTTCGTCAACGATACTTGGTGGAGCCACGTGTTTAAGGCTGCCGAAAATCTAGTTCCCCGGTCAAACCTCAAACCTATTACGCGAGATATTAACTAAAGTGGACTGTATATGCGATTGCTTCTACGTTTACGTAAAAGCGACTACTATAGCATGCGGTACAATGCACTCGCTCTTCCCTAAACTAAACTATTACTTGTCGAATCGATGAAAGGAATCCTGCTTGACTAGGAAAAACACAGATTGGAGCGGGTTAAACTATTAGCAAGCAGGTATAATTAAGGAATATTGACTCACCGGGGTTTCTTCTTCCTGTCGATCACTATAGCGACTTCTGGAACACTCCGGAGAGAGGCGATGCGCGACGATATCTCACACGAGGTGAGGCGGGTTCCTGGAGCTCGACTGCTTCCAGGCCAAAGCGGTTTCCACTAGTGAGGTGTTTCCAAACGAGCGCGCGGGAAGAGGAGGTTGTAGTTCAACGACGACTGCGGCGGGAGAAGAGAGCGCGCGTCGGTCGCGCGTGTCTTATATATCCTCGGGTCCGATGATTACGCGATGTTCTAGAATCGTCTTCTTTCCCCTCCCACCCCACCACCCCGATGTGTCGATAGGAGGGTACGAATGATATTGTTTCGGAAGGGAATAATGATTCGACAAGTTCCTACCGTCAAAAATAAAAAAACGCGAATGGTTTTCCGCGCAACCATCTCCCCCGCCCTTGAAGGATTTCCTTCAAAAAAAATAACTAAACAACTAGAGCTAAGATCGACTAACAAATAACTAACTAACGCTAAGATTACCTAAATTAAACTACAATTTCAGTCTAGAAAGCTAATTTAAATTATGGAAGAGGCAAGGGGCACAAACGGACAACAGGACGTAGGTAAGACCCAACCGTGGTCTTAACGCAAGCTATCCTAATTACTCCGTCGGAACCGGGAAAGACCTCCTCGACGATTCCTAACGGCCAGTGGAGAGGCGGCGTATTCTCCTTAGTGAGCACAACTACGGTTCCTACAGCTAAAGGCTCTGTCGCTGTGTTCCATTTTTGCCGAGACTGCAAAGTATGCAAGTATTCCATCCTCCATCGTTTCCAAAACGATTGCACTAACCGATCTAATAATTTGTGGCGTGTGGAAATGCTAAGTCTGTTCTCATCCATATCCGCGGCGGGCAGATACCTTAGAGGCGTTAAAGTCAAAAAATGTGCTGGAGTTAGAGCCAGCGGTTCCGAGGGGTCACTAGATAACGTCCGACAAAGTGGGCGGCTATTCATTACGCATTCAATTTGAGCGAGCACCGTACTTAGCTCTTCGAAGGACAAAATTTGATCTCCTATTACTCGGTATAAGTGGCTCTTTAGACTTTTAATATTAGTCTCCCAATTGCCCCCAAAATGACTCGCGGCTGGGACGTTCAGAGACCACTCAATGCGGTTCTCGGCTAGAATGTGAGCGAACTCCGAATTATAATACTTGCTAGCTAAGAGCTCATGTAGTTCCGATAGAATACGTTTTGCACCGACGTAGTTCGTACCGTTATCCGAATATAATCTACTTACAGGGCCTCTGCGCGATAGAAATCTTTTAAATGCACCCATAAAGCCTGCTGTGCTTAGATCACCAACGAGTTCTATATGCACTGCTCGAGTAGTTAGACATACGAAAATGCAGACGTAAGCCTTTGTGGATCTTATACCACGCCCGCGAGTGAGCGTGACCTTAAACGGACCAGCAAAATCAGACCCGGTGTGCGTGAAGGGCTTTACCGATTGTATCACTCTACAAGATCTAAGTTCCGCCATTTCCGGAAATGACGGCTTGGGGCGTGCCCGAAAGCAAGCTATACATCTGTGCACCCGATTGCGTATTAAACTACGTGCAGAAAGAATCCAATAATTCTGACGCAAGATCGACATCAATAAATCGGGGCCAGCGTGCGAGTTCAATTTATGATGATAATCGACTAATAAGTTCATGATATGGTCTTTACGCGGTAAAACTATAGGGTGCCGTTGGTCGAAACTCAATTGCGAGTTGGACAAGCGTCCACCTACCCTTACAATCCCATCCTGTAAAAATGGCTTAAGGCGTTGAAAGGCGCGACTACAAGCTCTATTCGATTGTAATCTTGTAATTTCTTCAGAGAAGTGCGCACGTTGAAGTTCACGTAATACTAGCGACTCGGCATAGTTGTAATCGGATGCTAAGACATACGGACGTCGCGGTAAAAGCTTCGCGAATCGACAAACGTAAATTACGCTACGCAATAATTTCGACCAAGAGGACAAGCGGTTCGCCAGAGCAATGATTGGAGAAACCTCGCTCGAAACGTTCGCCACTAGAGCGTGTCTCTTCTCTTCCGGCGGTTGTGACACTGACGAAGGTTCGAAATCGGTTATTGGCCATTGTGAGGGATCCAAGTGAACCCAAGAAGGTCCATGGAACCAAAGCGGGTGGTCCATTATTTGCATCGGGGTGAGTCCCCGGGATAGACAATCGGCAGGGTTTTCCTTACCGGACACGTGATAAAAGTTCCGCGTTTCTAACTCGTCTTGGATCTTGGCCACTCGGTTCGCGACAAACGTATCCCAACGGTGGGGTGAAGAATGAACCCAACATAAGGCGACGGTGGAGTCGGAAAAGGCAAATATTCTTTCTATGTGAACTCTATCCCTACATGCGCTGATAACTGTGGTAATAAGCTTGGTGAGTACTAATATTGCGCAAAGCTCTAAGCGCGCCAGAGAGACAACCTTACGGGGGGAGACTCTCGACTTAGAACTAATGAGGCTAATCGAATTTCTACCATTATTCTGGACATGGAAATATACAACGCCCCCGTAAGCCTTCTCGCTGGCGTCTGCAAATCCAACAACCGTTATGCTGCTATTTCTATCGACATTTATATGACGCGGTATTTTAATTTCTCTTAGTAAAGGAAGTTCCTCTCTAAAGCGCTGCCACAATCGAACAATGCTGTCAGGCGGCGAGTCATCCCAATCGCATTCAAATAACCAAAGTTGTTTAATCAAAAGCTTAGCGTATAATACCACCGGAGCTACGAAACCCATGACGTCCCATAATCTAGCAACGCATGACAGTATTGTGCGCTTTGTGCATTTCTCTACGGGCGGATTTACCTTAAGGCTAAACACGTCGGACTCTGGTGACCAACACAGACCGAGCACCTTGTGTGTATCGGAATCGTCGAATTCCTTTATCGCCGAAAGACGGTGTGATAGTGGGATTGTATCTAAAACCGGACGCGAATTACTAGTCCACTTCACAAGATCGAATTGACCCGATTT